GTTTTTCCATGTAGGGTTGTGGGGGTGCTGCTGCCTGGCTCCAGCAGTCTGAGGTGAAGTTTGAGTGAATTTAATTCATGATAAATCAGTGTTTTGTTAACTTTAGCATGAAAGCTATAACAGTCACTGATAGAAACATCCCAAATCATTGCAAGATCCTTTTTACAAGATCATTTTAAGTTAAAACCAGGTTGTCAACATTAAAACATAAATTTATGCTGGTCTTGTTATGACACATTATCATTACCTCATCCCTGCCATCCCACTGTAATACAATTATTTCTACTTTAGGGATTTGCGTAGGACATCCGGTGGCTTGTATACAGTATTGACCCGATATGAGCACAGCTTCTTGGAAAAATGTCATACACCCTTATTGCATTTCTCTCAGCACAAGTAAGAATAACAGCAAAAAACATAATGAAAACCAGTTGAACCAAAACAAGCAAAAAAAAAACAAAACAAAAAAAAAAAAACACTGCTTTTCCAAAAAGACAAACTACAGGACTTTAATGCTGCTGTAGTTTCTCAGATATCCAGGACATAATAAAAAAATTAAAAAAAAAAAGTACAAAAATCAAACAACTAGACTTCCATTCTGTAGTTGAAATGACATTTATGAGGATCTCCCAAGTTCTCAAAGTGAAAGTAACACCTTCCATGTGTCACTTCCTGCTGAGTAGTAAAATCCTGTAAAGCGAGACTGGAATTTCCAACAGGAGTTCAAAAATATAAAAAGGAAATGTCAAAAATTCAGAATACTATGATGCTTGCCAACAGTTTATCTGGAGCTCTTTATTTCTACTGGAGCGAAAGTTCTCTGAAGCTCCTTTGGCAATTCAGTAAGTCTAGAGTTCCAATTCTCATCCTGCTAATGAAAGTATACTGCTTCAACAGGAAGCCTCAAGCTTTACACCAGGGCAAAGGGGAAAATTAAATAGCAAACACTTGGTCGATGCAAACATATTCTTTGAGTTTTCATTCTGTAGATGAACAGATGCGGGGATATATTCATCATTTAACGCGGGTTCCTCATTTTTCTGGACTGAATAAAACGTGCATTGAATTTAAGGAAATGCAAAGTGAGACGTCATTTAAATTTGACCCATCAAAATGAATGCGGTCATTTATTTACAGAATCAAATTTAACATCAAACATTTACATTAATTTGGCAAATTATGAAAATAACAATATAAGCAATCAATCAGGAAAAATCATACGGCCATGATTTTTCCGTTGCTGACATTTATAAAACTGTACAACTATGATCTTTTACCCACACGGATGTGAATAAGCACTTTACACAGACATTTCTAAATATCTGGGAGAATTTCTACTTCATAGGAAAGTTTAAAGATGGAAAGAAGTTTAGAGGGAGTAAAGGATGGGGTTTGAGGGAAATTGAATGTTCACCAGAACCGACACTCTCCATCAGAAGCCCAGCTCGCCTCGGTACGCTTGGTAGGAAACTTGACCCATTACCTTTCTGATGATAATCAGCAGATATGGTGTTCCGTTAACGCTACCGGTCCAGCGTCTCCTTAGAATGGCTGTAGCCCGTCAGAAGTAGTGGCGAGGCTCTGTTCGACACACATTCACCTCAGTGGAAAATGTTATAATCCCATGGAACTCGGAAGAGCTTTGTTGTCATGTCAGGAACTCCAACAGCACTCCATCAGAACTCCAGAACTCTAGAAGTCTGACAACTCTCCAACTCCGTGAACTCTGTAACTCCGTGAGTCGTAAGTCACTCTGGGTACCTGTGAGTCCGTGTAGACCAGGAAGTACTGACATTTTAAAGACTCTTTCCCGGTTCACTTTTTGGGATTTTTCATTGGTCAGAAACGACCAGAAGGGGTGTGTTTTTGTGACATAATAGGTTAGAGACAGCGAGAATTGTTATGGGACAGCTCAGAAATGTTCTCACAGACCGAGAGGGTTTGTTGTGGCGTGTTTAAGAAACAGGTGCAAAACATCTCTATTTACGTCTGAGAGGATTCTAAAACATGACAGTTTTAACATAACAACTTGTTTTTCGTTTGACTGTAACCTTGTAAACGCACACACTTGCTCATTCAAAAGCAGAAATCAGAAAAATGCATAATTACTCTGCAACAGCTTTTAACATGAGAATAAAAATCATTACTCAGTTAATAAAATTGATTAGTTCACTGCAACATCTAAAATGGTTTGAACTAAGACACTTTGATTATCAACATTTGTAAGATAGTAATGATAATAAAAAGAGAGTGTTCTTTTCACTTGAATCTTCAAGAAAGAAAGTCTCAGGATGGGTGAACCTGTATCTATGTATTCAAATACATGAAATGACAGTTCCTGTCCCACAAGGTTCTTAAGGTCAAGAGTTTTGACCTTAGACTGGGTTTCGACGTAGGCCTAGTCCACTACATTCTCATAAATTTTATTTGAATTAATTCAGTGATGGTCATGCTTTCCACACTGGATCATCTCTGGAGACGCCGTTGGCCAAATTTATTCCATTGAATCGTTTCCGTCAGCAGATGCGAGCGAAGACACGCAAGTATATTAATTCCTTTGAGCCTTGGGAACAATCAGCACTGATGTGTTCAAACTGTGTCAACATACAGTAGAAAAAAAAAAAAGGAAAAAAAAAAAAGCTTTGGTCTTCTACGTGACCCTAGAGAGCGTTTGTTTCCCCTATTCATGCAATAATGTCCATCTGAGCATGACACTAGAGTAGCCTTGGTTTGGAGGTTTTCAGCTGCCCAGATTAAATTTATTAAATGAGACACCAGAGAGCATAGTTAGACTTTAGTGAAGGAGAAAGGAAGTGATGGATAAGATGTTACTGAAATACCAAAGAAGGCAAAAAGCAAACTCAGAAAGAAGGGAGGATTTGATACTCTCATATTACCACCACGCAAAGCCCTTCTGTCACGCGTGTCTGTGTGGTTGTATAAACCGTTACAGAACGTCTGTCTCACTCAGGTTTGGTATTTACATAGTTGTGCAAGCCAAAAACTTAAAGTGATTATGAGATCTCAACGTGAATGCATGTCTGTTTGCTGGTCATATATTCACATTCCACTAATTTGTTAGTCACATTTAAATGACTTCTAAATTGTTATTTATTACATTTTCAGTTATGAAGATTGTTTAACTTGATATTCTAAGTATGGATTGTTTTAGACTACATTAACCTTTATTTAACCAGGCAGATCCCATTGAGATCACACATCTTTTTTGCAAGGGAGGCCTGGGCCTGAAGGCAGCCGAACATGCATGTTTTTGGTCTGTGGAGGAAACTGGAATACCTGGAGAAAATCCACGCAAGCACAAGAAGAACATGCAAACTCCACACAAAGATCTCAAGTCCAACCGGGATTGAACCCAGAACCTTCTTGCTGTGAGACAACAGTGCTAACCACTGAGCCATGAATCAAAAATATTATGAACTTTACTGAATTGAAGAGGTATGTCAACCTACAATACAGAAATGCCTTTTTAAGGCACTGTAAATATTAATATGTATTAACATGTATAGCCTGTAGTGAGTATAGGTAAAAAGTTGATGTATTAGTGTATGTACTGTTTATTTATTTTTTTGGTCCTTGCCATTTTGAAAAAAGTCTGCTTTGCCACTAAAATAGTAGTTGCCAACCAAAGAGAATGAGGCAAAGTAGGCTTTGTTCAAAACTCGAGCTTTTTGCTCTACTTAGATGGGTGTAATATTTAAACTTTAAAAGATAATGCATCACAACACGTTTTAAACCAGTTTATTAAATGGTCACTCAAGTATAAAATTTCACTGGGAATCTGCTTTTGTTCTTGTTGAGAAAAATCAATAAATCAGGAACTCTCTCCATTTCTCATGAAAGGGATGCTTTTTTTTTCCTCTCTCTTTTCTTCAAACAAAAGAGCAAAAAAAAAATTGTGACATGAAAATTCAACAGCTGCGTTTATTTCTGTCTGTGACTCTCAAAGTAATTTTTCCTTGTAAGACGTCAGACTCTCATGAATGGCTACAGACAGATTTCAGCACATCTCTTGATGTTCCCATTGCACCTTTTAATACAATGAAGCAATGCCATAAATGTATCTCCATCTATGTCTCAAACACAGTCCTTGCCTTGACAAATTAGCATCTCTTACACATCCAAGACACAATATGCTCATTGTCTGTTTCAATCCTACAGTCTTATACTCCACAACACACAGTGCATCTCTCAATGCACTCAAACAAATTTGCCTGCCAGAACTAAAAAACCTGGGGGAGAGAAGGCTCATCTGCTAGAGTTCATCATGCCTTGAATGCCCTTTTGGCAGCTCGTACATTTGGAGAACAATCAAGACACTATTTCAACATAAATTCAGTGAACAGTGTGATGCATTCTCTTATTTATAATCAAGTTCATCAGAGTGTACATGCAACTTGCAGATCAAGTTTTGCGCCCGTTTCCATGGATTCTGTTTACTGTCAAAACAAGCTAAGAGGACTTGAGTATCTCAGCTGCCAAATTGTAAAGGTCACAGTTATGAACCCAGATGTGACTTAGCTTTTCTCGTGGCTAATGTGAAGGGCAACAAAACAGCCCAATCAATCTCTCTTTTATAGTGGCATATTTATCTTCAGTTTTTTATACATCGTTACAGCCACAACTTCTTTTAGATGCTATATTTCAGACAAATTAAATTTTATTGGTTATGTTTGACCTATGGAATATAAAACCTGAATTTATAGCTAGATCTAATCACTCGGAGACAAAAAGTACATACAGTTACCATGCAGGGGCTACCCATCATTTCTAACAAGTTTATTTCATTCACCGCAGGAAAGAGAATTGGATTAAGAGTTCCCCACTCTTTTTAGAAGTCACATTGTGTGTCACCAAATGAGAAATCAGTGGTTGAGATTTCGCAGGGGTCCATTTATTTGTAAATTTAGGTTTAACAAAGCATATGTGGCTTGTTAGCAGGACAAAAAAACCAAACAAAAAAACCTGTAAAAAATAGTTACCTGTGAGTCATGCTCCATGTAAGGACTTATCTTGCCGTCCTCACTAAGTGTTGGTGACCACACTCTTTCTCCAGCTCCCGATCTGTAAGACAATACCCATGAGAAAAAAAGATAATACCGGTAAGTTGAATGCATTTCAAGCCATCTAAAATCAGAGTGCTGAAGAGTGCCATAATTTCTGCTGAAGGAGTAGGAGTTTTACAAGGAAATCTTTTTGTATTAAAAGGTCAATTTTTCTTGGCACGTGAGCAAAGCACTTGGAAAAAGTAAAAATAGATAATTTATGCTTTTAGAATAGCAATCAAAAAGGCTCATCGAATATTTTCAGCATAAGAGGAAAATCAAATCCTGCTCATATCAGCCATTCATTCATTTGACCCTATGCTAAATGTCAGCATATATGCAATATCGGTTGCTACAGTATAGAATGCTGTTTGTTAGGCAAAAACATTTCAGTAGAAGGCAAGTGTCATAGTAACAATAAAATAAAAAGTGCATTGTAACAAGGCGAGATGAAATTTTATTTTGAACGTCTGTGCTCATAAAGTTGTGTACTGTGCTGCATTTTCTATGCCTATGTTGATTTTAATTCTGTCAGGTTTTACATTTGTAAGGGGATAAACTGATTTCCACAAATCTCCTGAGAAAACTATGATAAAATCATTATAAATGCAATAACTTGAGTAAGCATCTGTAATCTGGGCCATGGCTTCTTTAAAAGCAGCAATGACTGAATAACCATCATCTAAAACGTTTATTCTTATGTTTGGATAAACAGTAATTGACTTCAGTTGCATACACTTTTAAAAAGTACATAAATTACTGAACAATAGTAACGTTAAAATACATATAACTGATAGAAAACCTTGTGTATAAGTGCAATGTGACCCACTTACAATGTGAAAGTGTTAATATAGTTCACCTATTCCTTTAAAAACATACAAATTTCTTGGTGAAAATAAAACTGCTGTAATTCACCTACAACTTACAGTACTTGCAATGGTATTTTACCATCAAGTTACATGTAAATGTCCCATGTAAGATGGAAAGGGGAGTTCTTCTGTATATCTGTTCTCAGTTGCCATAGGGTTGACTTTTGAGTGGGAAAGTATCTGGCTTCCTAAAGGATGAAGACATCATGTTGAAGAACAACATCTGCGTGTATACACATTGTCTATTCTACCAGCCTCTTCTGATCTACACCCTCTATCGAAAGGTCATACATACAGTACGACTAAAGAGTGTGCATGCATTTGTTGACCTCATGGGGAAAGTTGTAGCTCAAAAAGCTGAGATCATCGAGCTGCTGTCGCTGGCACTGCATTGGCTAGATGAGATATTGGAAATGTTTCAGATATGAACCACGGAGGTGTTGATATCAAGGACGCTCTTATGAGGTGCCGAGTGTCTGGTGGATGAGCAACAGCTACAGAATTGTGGAGGAAGAAAGCACCCTCCCTTCCATCAATAACTCCATTATTCACAAACAGAAAGTCTCGGTGTTCACAGTTTGTTTGGTTGCAATGGTTACCACACAAACGGCCTACTGAAAGAAGTTAAAGTTCAGACTGAAGCAGCTTGTCTGAACTGACAATAAAAACATGATATTTACTGTCTATTTACATGGAGTTTTCAATGGAGAGGCGTAGTGGAAAGTGTGACAGGCAGGCCAGTTTGGAAATTATAGCACTATTACAACGTTGTGTTCAACAAAAATGATTCGGACCTGAAGGTTCTTGTCAATTATGTACTTGAAATCTTCAAAATAAGAAGTCCACTTCAAATACAGCTGCTACACAGCTGGACTTCAAGCTATGATTTCAGCTTTTAGGCTCTACTTTTTCCACTTACATGTAGAATAAACAAAAATGCAGTTACTTTTTTGCTGGACTGGAAATTTCTTTTGGACAATGTCAAATGTTATGACATAAAATATATTAAAGTGAGTGCAGAATTTATTTTAGAGTATGATTTTTGTTTGAAAATGCATACGGATAACCCAGGATCTTGTCTAATGTTTTGGCATTCTATACTCAGGGAGCTTATCTACTCCATAAAAATTGACACGATAAATCTACACACTCCTATTTTTGTTTCTTTCCATGAACTCCCATTATGTCAAACAAGATTAAATACCGACAAATTAAAAGAAAGCAACCATATTTTGAAAACCATGAACATAAAAGCATCAAATGTAGACTTTTCTACATCGTGTAGGCAGAATAACTAATAAATTGGCTCAGAACAAAACACAAAGACAACAAGGTAAATGAATAAAACTAAGCAGAATGTATAAAAGGCAATACAAATGATATTACTAAATTTTTCTTTTGGTCATAACTTACCTTTCCTGACCTCCCCCTGCCATTTTTAACAACATGATGGGGTATATCTGCTTTTATGAGTAGTGTATGAGTTTACTTTGGCTGCACATATATCATTTCTCAGACAGGCAACTGTAAAACAACTGCTATAAAATTTAGAGTCTGATCACTAATCATTTCATACTTCACTTAGATTTAAATTGTATACACACCCATTTGAAAAAAATAAAAATAAAGGATTCAGCTTTATCAAACTTAACTAATGCTGCTTTTTGTGATGTAGGACTTTATTGTTCTTCCCTGAGAAATATGAGACTGTTAACCTTAAAATAGCTGGTATGGAAGTAACAGACTGAATAAGGAGTCACTTGAAAACTGCATGTGGGTGATGACAGGATCAAAAAAAGAAGGGAAAATCCTCCTATTCTGCAACACATTCTCTCACTTCCATTGATGTTGTATTCATAACCACAAAATGAGTCCTTGGGGAAGTGTGAAAGGATTTGATGAGATCAAGAGAACAGAAAGCAACATTTCTAGCTGTGCAGAGACATCCGTAAGCTGGTTCCTTTGGAAGTTTATGTGCTCATTTGTTTCCATGCAGCTTCACAGTTGATTCCTCAGCTGTGACTCACAGGTCATGGAGTCAAGGCAAGACAGCAAGGGCAAAGCCTCCACCAAAGGGATCCAGCTTCATCTTTGTTTTCTCTGATCCTTTCCAAATCCTGAGTGGTCTACTTGTTTTAGTTTCACTGTCCAGAAATTGATCAGATTTATTTTTAATATGTATTCATGCTTTTGTGTATTACACATCACCTAACCCCCTGATCCTAGATTTATTCCCCACTACTGCATGCCTATCTTATGTAACCGATAAAGACTTTGAGTTGAAGCTAAAATAACAGTAAGTGAAACATCTGACTTATTTGATACTTTAAATCGACCAGTTGTACACTTCTGGCAAGTTTATCATAAAAATAAAACTTCATATAAAGCACATTTGAGGTGCTTCAGTAGCTCGGTGGTCAGTGCTGTGGTCTTGTAATTCTCAGGGTAGGCAAGTTCAAGCCCAGATTGCACTAGAAAGGGCATCTGGAGTAAAACACTTGTCAAATCTTTTGTGAGAGTTTGCTCACTGTGGCGACCCCTGAAGAAGGACCAGCCGAATGAAAAACAACATAAAGCATATATGACTTTGGTTTAATTACCCTTCACTAAAATCTTCTGCAGTTCTAATAAAAATAAATGGATAGAATTTCATTTGTGATGCTATATTTCTTCTGTGTAAAACAATTCCAATGAAAACTCTTTGAGTGAGGTTTATAGATGGTTCTTAATAACCACAACTTTGTTTTGGAAAGCTACACTTTAGTAAATGTCATTTTGTTTTATAGCTTCGAGTAGCTTTAAAGAACTGTTCTTGAGCCCTGCAATGCTAAAGCCAAACTGACATCCAAGTTCAAAAATATGTTTTTTGTGTCATTTGGCTAAATTGACATTTAAGGCTCCAAACCATTAAGTGAAACTGTAACAAAAACTGAAGACTGTTCATATTACACAGGCATTGCTACCACAGCACAACTTTTTTTTTTTTCCCAAACAGCCTGACTAGCAATAAAAACTTGCATACTGACCATTGTCTGTCTCTCAGGCTATGAAGCAAACAAAAGAATGTTTCTTCAATAATCTCTGGCAAAAAAAGGGAGACTGCAGGAAGGTGAAAACACCATGGATCAGATGGAAAAAAAGATGAAGATAAGATATGAAAGGAAACCAGTAAGGTGGGTTTGGATTAGAACAGGGGAACAGCAGCAAGACACATTGAGTTCATGGACAAAATGAGGAGGAAGAATAAAGGGGGAATGGAAAAATGGAGGAGTTATTCCTCCCCAGCTGTTGCATGTGTGCAAATGTTTGAGAATGTACATTAAGGACAAAGCAGACATGGAAAATTTAAATGTGGTCCTTGTTTTTCTATCAAGTTCCTCCAGCACTACCATTAATTTTCACATTATGTGAAGGGGATTCCTTTCACCAGTACTTTTTTAAAATAAGACAAGGCAGAACATTCTCAACACAACTCTCTCACAGCAATCTTCATAGGCAATAAGGTTTTATTGAAAATGGAATATGGACAATAAAATACATTAGATTTTAAAATAATATTATTTGGGGGATATATGGGGGAGTGGTGGCGGAGAGGCAGGGTATGCCCTGGACAGGTCTCAAGTCCATCACAGGGTCACATAAAGACAAACAAGACAAACGACCATTTACATTTTACACACCTGTGGACAATTTAGGAGTACATTTAATCTAACATGCAGGTTTTTAGTGTGTGGGAGGAAACGAGTATCCAGAGAAAATCCACTTGTGCGCGAACATCCAAACTCCACCCAGAAAGGTCCTACACTAGAATTCAATCATGTAACCTTCTCATTAAGAGGTAGCAGCTCGACCAGCTGCCACACTGTTCCACCCCACTCATAATGATTTATAAAATGTTATTTTCTTCTTCCGGCTGCTCCCTTCTTATGGGGTCGCCACAGCGAACTAACTCTCACTAAGACTTGACAATTGTTTTTATGCCAGATAAACTTCCTGGCACAAGCACAGATGACCCAGCTGCCACAGCCCTCTGTGTGGAGCAGAGAGCTGCCAGGCCCAGGGGAGCAGATTGTGGGGGTTAAGGGCCTTGCTTAATGGCCCAGAGTGGGACGAATGAGGGTGGAGGAAGGTGTGAAAGTTTCACCTTTCC